TCGTGGAGAACATCTCGTACGTGGTGGCATAGCGGTCAGGATCAGCCATTAGACCTAGGCGGCCGTTCCTATCACATTTTTCACTCTTTTACAGTACCATTATGGGATCAGATGACGTCGAGGCCAAGAACGACTACTTACTCTTAATTTCGTCGCCGCTGTGTTGGATCTCGGGTGTGTGGCAGCTCCTATGGGGAATAAGGTTTGGCGTCACCAGGGTATTCACCACCGTCTCGGACGACATCACCATAATGTCCACGATCGACAAGTACAAGGTTAGCCACAACAAAGTCTTTCAATCTCACCAGAAAATTGTACTTTACGATTCTGAATCTCTAGATCAACACATGGATGGGAGCACCTGCGGTGCTCTTCGCCTTCATCGCCCATTACAAGAATAAGTACACGGGTCGCTACGACCTCAGCTCGCTTGAGAGGGTCCTAATCGGTGGGTCTCCTACTGGTGCTGAGGTTCAGGCCTCCTTGGAACAAGACATCAAGTGTAGTGTCATCCAAGTGTATGGGGCCACAGAGGCTGGCTTTGTCTTCGGGCCGCTGGCCTCAGTACCATCCCCGCCTGGTGCAATGGGCACCCTGGAGCCCGGTGTGGAGCTCAGGGTAAGTCCATTCCTTTCTTTAGAAGTGCTAGTTAGAACACAATCAATTAATTGGGAGTTCGAGCTGGTTTGTCCTTGATAGTGGCGACCCCCCCCCCCCCCATTTATTCGTAATAACGTGACTAAGGTACGCATACCACATATCATGCGCTTAGCCCCTAATAGCATAGTGGTGCAATGGCATGTCACGTTCTAGCGAATTCACGTTACATCGAATGTGTGTGTTTGACTAACGATGGACGCTGCAGCTTTGCTGTTTTGCATTCTCCGTCCCTCCCCGCTTTAGATACCGAGGCCCCTGTGGCCCAAGACGGTATGTAATCCCGCAGCACTGCAGCGCCCGCTCAGATACGCCCGGGTACCGGGTGTAACTGTGAATGCGCAGCAGCGTTGCGGGTTTGCCTACTCTTTACACCCGTAAGGGGCCATGGCCCGTGCTGCCATTTTGAGTATGCAATTCCGCAACACTGCTGCGTATTCACAGTTACACACGGTACATTGTAAATCTGGGATGTTCAGCAGCTGGACGACTTAAGTCGCAGTGATGTTGGGAACCTTGCGCTGACTCATGTGCGTACAAGTCCAATAGCAAACCCGTGCTGGGTTGGTAAATGCAGAGAATTCTTAAATTATGAGTAATGGGCGACGCATGGGTGATTAGAGGAACACCTTGAATTAATCAGCCACTGTTTTATGTAAGCTGGTGAACGTTGAAACGGGTGAGGACATCCCGGACGATGTGAAGAACACAGCGGGCGAGGTGCGTGTCCGCTCGGACTACCTCATGCTCGGATACTTCAACAACCCCGAGGAAACGGAGAAGGCGTTTGACGAGTACGGCTTCTACAAGACGGGTGATCTTGTCTACGAGGATGACGATGGCTACTTTTTCTTCGTTGACCGTATTAAGGAGATGATTAAGTACAAAAACAACCAGGTATGTAAACGAGAATAAGGCTTTAGTTTCGCTACGACGGCACCGAGCTAGCGTTCTCCTCGGCCTGCAGATCGCGCCAGCCGAAGTGGAGATGGTCCTGCTCCAGCACCCCGGCGTCAGTGAGGCGTGCGTCCTGGGTCGCCAGAGCACGGCCGACATCGGGGACATACCGACTGCGTTCGTGTCGAGGGTTGACAACGAGGCGGGGGAGGCCCTGACCGAGGGCGAACTGCAGGACCTGGTGGCTGACAAGCTGTCCGACTACAAGCGTCTGCGAGGTGGAGTCATCTTCCTGGACCATCTACCCAGGACCGTGAGCGGCAAGGTCGCACGTCGCAACCTCAAGGAAATGCTAAAAGGAATGGATCGACCCGATGATTGACTACTTCTACTCTCAAGACCATGTCAAATGCCCACGTTGTTCTGTGACATTTCAACGCCGGGCGCTTGTTGGCGTGTGTATTTGCCCTCTTTTGTCCAAGAGCAGTGCCACTGTGATAGGGGACTGCAAGGTGGATGGTCCTGCACTTGTGTAATCATTCCCTGACAATGTGGCGTATTTCTCGTAATCTCAGTATTATCATAGTATTAGTTTTTGAAGTGCCGGAGCTCGGAGCTATGTTTTACAAGGACTTGACTTGCTTCATGCTCGACAATTCCGATGATTTTACCAATAATCGACTAATTTCCGGCATATAATCTTACTTCTGTGATTCAATCTCGTAGATCGGGGTTTGCTGTCGTGCTGTTCGGACAGGATACCCCAACCCAGCACCTCCCGAGTTTACACGTTTTGTATATTAATATTTTTCACGTTCAGAATCTGAATATTTGAGGTACAGAAATAAGCCTTAATGTCGTAAATTTGTCGAATATTAGTGAAATCATGGGGATTTTGTGTCTGCTGCTACTGTCTGCTCTCCGATATAATTCGTTTAAGTCTACAGGGTCGGTGATCCGCGCCGTGGTTTTTTTCTGCTTATACTGTACCGGATTCACGAGTGCGGGCGGGCTTGCCTATCGTCGCTCGCCGTGGCTCCTTATGGCCCCGTGCGACTATGCAACCCGTCCGCACGCATGAATCCGGTACAGTATAAGCAGAAAAAACCACGGCGCGGATCACCAACCCTGTATATAGCCCCTGTTCAATCCTTTGCAAACGCTTTTGCAAATTGCGAAGGATTTAGAGATGCGTTGTTGTCTACAGCGACTTTTTAGGGAATTAACAGGGTGAAGAACGCGAGGGGTGGGCGACTTGAATTTTTCGTGTGCACAGGAGTACGGAGTACACGGAGTACAGTCGGAGAACACACTTTAAAGAAAATTATCGTGATTTTACGACATTTTCTCGGTTAATTTTCTATTACGAAAACTTCGTTTCTAACAAATTACGATACATCGTTATTTTACGAATTTGCTTTGTAAAATCCCAGGCTCTAACTAAAGGGTATGAAAATTGTAAATATTTTGAGTCAAAATTTATGTCTTACGACCCCAAAAATTGCATTCGTTACGAAATGTATTCGTTACTTTACGAAATGTTTTCGTAAATTGTCACTTACGAAATATTTTCGTAAATTAATTTTTTCGAAGCATTTCGTAACTTATTTCTTCGTAAAATCACGAAAACATTTTACAGTGCACTGAGTATTGCCGGTCGGAGCGCGCAGAGTACACCTGGAGTACACCTGGAGTACACCCGGAGTACACCCGGACACGGAAAAAAAAGATTCGCTGAGCCAGCTAATATATTGACTGGTATCTGGACAGACAAGCACATAAACTTCTGTAACCACTATATTGTCTACTCTAATCAATCATTGGCTGTGCCAGTCAAAGATAAGTTGTGTGAAGTAATGATTTGCCTGCATCAGTAAGGTAGACCTCGACTGATTTAGGTAAGGGATGAGCTCTTACAGCTAATTTTTGACTGGCACAGCCAATGATTGATTAGAGTAGACAATATAGTGGTTACAGAAGTTTATGTGCTTGTCTGTCCAGATACCAGTCAATATATTAGCTGGCTCAGCGAATCTTTTTTTTCCGTGGAGTACAGTCGGAGTACGCGGAGAACTTGCGACAAAAACAGCCGGAGTACACGGAGTACAGTCGGAGTACAATCGGAGAACACCTGGAGTACATTTTGGGCTGTACACAGGAGCCGCCCAGTCGTCCACCCCTCGGAAGAACGTGGGTGGAGCTGAGCTACACAGCCCAGGACAAGTTGTAAAGTGTGTGCATGTAGAAGTAATGTTTTCAACAATAAACGTACAACATTGTAAAAAAAGTTATGTAATGGCAAGAATTTTTTCTTTCTAACAATGTTTTCCCCCCTTTTTGCACTTTGGAGTTAATCGCACTTACTTTTGGAAATTAAATCTTGATTTCAAGATAAATATCCTTTTCATTCGTCTTCACGAAAACGTCGTCATTTTAAAGTAACACACACTCTCACACACTCACACACTGGAAACGCAAGTGTTAGAATGTCGCACACTTGTAGGTGTGTAAATGCCCATTCATACACTCCAGGAGTAAAAGTGTGAATTTCATTTTTGAAATGTACATACTTGTGCCTTCGTGTAAAAATGTCTGTATGAGCGACATTCACGCACTCCGGTGCACAACACAGAAAGTCTCGTCCGCATCAGCCACCGACAGGCTGCCTCCGCCACTGGTTCCCGGCAAGCGAGGACGCCCCCCCCCCCAATCCTTCATTCTGAACTCTCCTCCCAAAGACGAGTGATTAGACGAGGGGAAAATGCTGCAATTTCACAGCATGATTGTTGAGCTGTGTCCATGACTCTTCGACTCGCTGAGTTAGAGCAAAGAAGGCCTTGCAATAGGCCGACCGCTCCTGAGCAACAGATGGATGTGTGTGTAGTCATAGTCGACTGATAAAACCGTTATTGTCCCATTTCATATCAGTTTCTAAACCAGCCTTTTTTCTGGTTATACAGGGTCGTCTACAGACCCCTTCTTATGTTGCATATACTATACCGCATGCAGGCGTGCGGGCGGGCTTGCCTACCGTAGCTCGCCGCAGCGCCTTATGGCCCCGTGCGAGCATGCAACCCGGCCGCACGCCTGCATCCGGTACAGTATAAGCGAAAAGTAGAAAGGGGTCTGTGGACCACCCTGTACTGTTCCCTATAGACCACCCTGTACTGTTCCCTATAGACCACCCTGTACTGTTCCCTATAGACCACCCTGTACTGTACCCTCTGCACGTAAATTTCAGCGTTTGGCGTGACACAGCGTGTTATTTTATACTGATATTTTTTTATTAAGAACGCTGCCCCGCCATCCCGGGTCAGTGAGGGAGTCCTTGGAGTCTGGAACCGGAAGGACGGGATAAAATCTGCTCCATCACGCCGCGGCCGGGCCTGGCCTGTGGCCACACCAACACGACCTGTGCCGTGTGCCGCAGCAAAAAACCAATGAATCAACCAATTGTGATCATCTGTGGCACGCAGCGCAGCTTAGGCACCGCGCAAGGATGTCAAGGCCGAGAGGCGCCCGGGCGGGGGCGCGGCAGCCAACTAGTCCAAGTAGGCTACAACAACGGCACCGCTACCACACTCTCACTCAGAAGAATTACTTCGTTAAGTTGGCTGATCTCAGATAGCTGGTATATTGTTTTGCTGTCTAGCTAAGGCGGTTGTCTAATTCACGATTAGTTAATTAGTGTGCACCCAAATCAAGTTAGCGGCACAGTGAAAAGAGTTATCACAATTACTTAGCGTGGCAGCTACACTTTTCTAACGTGCAAAGTTCACTTTGGAGTTTTGGGTTGAGTGGGATCGTCCAGAAAGTGCATCCGTCATTCGCGGTTACGAAACTGCCAAGTTCAGCCAGTGTAAGCTCTCACAGCACCTGCGAGGTAGACAAACTTCTCGCCTGCAGTGCATGCGTGTACTGCGGGTTGGCCTACTCTCAGTTTCGCAGGCGCTGACCTGCTCCGCAACTTTCCGAGTGAATCTGAAAAGCGGACTTACTTTATGGGCAATCCCTTACTCACACGTACTCCCTCCTGCTGGCATCCAGCTGGGCTGGGCCAGGGCTCCAGCGTCATCGGAGGTAACCGAAGCCACTGTGATGCGCGGAAAATGACAAAATCTAGCCTCAGGTGATACGCCACCGCACACCTCTCCTCGGGCCAGACTCAGACTCGTCGCTCTACGAGGAGATGCCCACCCGAGCCCGACGAGGAGTAGGAGTGAGTGTTGGCGAGAAGGTACTCGCAAACACTACTTATGGGGGGTGTAGTTGTTATCGCGCAACGGACCGTCCTTACACTACTTGTCTTGGCAATTCGGCCAGCCGTGCCCTGGCCGGGTGCTTTTCCTACGCACCGGTGAAAGGGTCGGTCAGCGCGGCTTCAGGCGCGTGATCTGCACTGTGACCGAACTGCAGGGGTATCAACCCCACCGGCGGGCGCCGCGCGGGGATGTCCCCGGCACCGGGCGGAGGGAAAGGGGCGGTGCAGCGCGGGATTAGTGACGGGGTGATGCTGGCACCCGTGAGAGAGCGGGCCAGCCGAGCGATCCAGCCCGGCTCAAGAGAGGGATGCCAAGACAGACGGTTGAGAGAGTCAAGTTTGGATAGTCGATTGAGGAAGTTTAGAGTTAAGGTCAGTACGGTGCGAGAGAGTGTGTTTGGTAACGTAGATTTTAATAATGGCGTTCTTAGTGTTCTGATTTGTATGTGCTTGAATCTTAGTAATTCTAAATTAGCTCTTGGTGTTCCCTACTCATTTACCCAGCATGAGCCCATTGCGGTTTATGCACTCCAGTGCAAGGACCGGGAGGGAGGAGAGAGGCAAGTCGTCGTCGTTGGTTCCCTTTTAACTAACCTGAAGCGAATATTTAGTAAAAGTAACTTGTCATAAATTATCCGGCAACAATACTGGTTACTTGGAGGCCACAGAAATTGAAACGGTAAATTAAACCCACTCTCATAGGAATGTAGTTGAAACGGTAACTAACCCACAGTTTTCCGAGCACAGCCCACCACATGGAAAACAGGACATTATCATTGGAATGAGCTAAAAGCGGTCACATCTTATCTAGCAAGTTAATTTCGGTAGGCCTACACTGCGACGTCTGCGTGAGATAATCCTTGTTGTGAAGCAGATCCTATTATCCACGTAAAAAGCAAGAGTGACCCAGCCTCCATCAAGTACATATGTGGCTTGGTTATCAAGCTACGCAACACGTTTACACACGGCTTATTTTTCTTTTCGTGGAGACGCTCCTCAGCCACGTGCGCTACGTGCGCTGCTCCGCATCCTCACCGCGGCCACTAGCGCGCGCTAGCGCCGCTGATAAGAGCAGCTGCTCTTTAAAATGTCGTACAAATTATTGCTCCAACGCGAGCCCCCCGCGACCTCTCGACAAGGGGGGG